GCGTGTGGCTTCGTCTTCTACCGGCGCGTATTTACTCGCCTAATGAATCAATTATAATGAGTACGAATTCGCAAATTTATAGAAGTAACGGAGCTGTTCTATGCCATTGATGATTACGTGTGATCGCGGTGTCGGTCACGGTAAGGGATTGGGTTGGTGCCTGCGTGCATGTGTGGCGTGTAAATGTGCACGTGTTGGGTGTGGTGTAGTTGTGTTGCAGTGGGGGTGTGGCGTGTGTGTGTGGTGTGGTGCCTGTGATTGTGTGTGTGTGTCTGTGTGTGTGTGTGTGTGTGTGTGTGTCGTGTGTAGTGTGTGTTGTGGTATGGTGTGTGTGTGTGTGTGTGTGTGTGGTGTGTGTGTGTGTATGATGTATGCCTGCTGTGACTGTTGTTGTGGGTATGATGTGTGTGTGTGTTGGTGTGGTGGTGTGTGTTCGTGTGTTGACTGTATGTGTGTGTGTGTGGTGTGTGGTGTGTGTGTGTGTGTGTGTGTATGTGTGTGAGTTGTGTGTGTGGTGTAGTGTGTTGTGTGGTGCTGCTACGTTGTTGTGTTGTAGTGGTGGTGGGTGTGGTGCGTGTGTGTGTTGTTGTGTGTGTGTGCGTGCGTGTTGTGTGTGTGTGTGTGTGTGTGTGGTGTGTGTGTGTGTTGTGTGTTGTGTCGTGTGGTGTGTGTGTGTGTGTGCTTGTCTGGCGTGTGAGAGCGTGTTAATGTTTTAAAACAACGCATCAGAAGTTTAATAGTTCGCGCATATATCTGTTTGATGGCGGCCGGCCTTGCTTTAAACAGGCATGCTGGCATTAATACCCCCGTTCGTTATTTCGAAGCGAAGAGTTCCGGCAGGCGAGTAAAAATTTACAATGCTTTCTGTAGCGGTGTGTATACGGGCGTGCGCGGTCGTGTGTATGCGCGTGCTGTGCGTGTGTGCATGCGTTTGCATGTGTGCGTATGGTGTGCGCCGCGTGTGTGCGCGCGTGTGTGTGTTGCGTGTGTGTGTGCGCGCGTTATATTTGTTGTGTGTACGTGCGTTGTGTGTGTTTGATGTGCGTGGCGTGTGTGTGTGCGCGCCGTGCATGTGTGTGTACGCGTTGCGTCGTGGAGTGTTATTCGTGGCGTTGCGTGCGTGTGAGTGTACGTGCGTGCGGCGTGTGTGTGTGTGTGTGTGTCGTGTGTGTATGATCGTGTGTGTGTGTGTGTGTGTGGTGTGTGTGTGGCAAATGTGTGTTGTGTGTGTGCTTGTGTGTGCGTGTGTGTGTGCTGTGTGCTCGTGTACGGCGCGGTGTGTTTGTGTGTACGTGCGTGCGTGTGTGTGTGTTGTGCGTGCATGATTGTGTGTGTGTGTGTGTGTGTGTGTGTGTGTGTGTGTGTGTGTGTGTGTACGCGTTGCATGTGTGTGTGTGTGTGTGGGTGTTGTGTGTGTGTGTGTGTGCTTGGTGTGTGCGTGTGTGTGAGTGTGTGCGTGTACGCGCGTGTGTTTGTGTGTACGTGCGTGCGTGTGTGTGTGTGCGCGTGTGAATGTGTGTGTGTGTGTGGTGGTGTGTGTGTGGTGTGCTGTGTGCGTTGTGTACCTCACCAGGCAAATCACAACGATACGACGCACGGAGACTAGGCGCCTACCCGGCATGCATTTAGGCTAAAGAAATTATGATTTACGACAACAGAATTTGTAGAAACACGGAAAAACAGAATTAGTCAATTATATATAACAGGGTTTTGTCAACTGGGTCACGGTTTGTTGCCATAGTGACAACGCCGCTCTGGTCAAGCAATACACAACGAGAAACACAAACGAGATGCAAACTGCATCAGTCTACTTAGTAAAAAATAAACATTCTTTGGCCTACGGTGTTTTCTCAATATTATTTCTATGCATGCTGTCGCCGACGTATACGTTATGATAATAGTGCCACCGATAAGTTAGGTAATCGTAAGTCTGCCTGCAATAATTTACTTTACCATGCAGAATTCTATAATAGGCCTAAATAAAAGCTAGGTTACGGTGATGTTATGTCTAATATGTTTGCCCATTTACGTTTCATTAAACGCACTCCGGCCTATCTACTTATTTAACAATTACTGTCCTCATTGCACTACTATTTCATGTTCTACTATGCTAAGATAATCTCATGCTCTCTGCCAATTTCATCGTATTAATAATCACACTTACGTTGTGATTATTATTTATGGTTTATATTTATATTATGGCTATACGTTACTTTATGTTATGTTTCGTTACGTTCATCCTTGCATTCTACACAGTTTTCAACATTGTTCAATTATTGTCTTTATTATATTACTCTTTCGTCCCATGCTAATTATGTTCGCCTCTAAAAAACTGTGCATTATGGTGCAACAATTAATATGTGCAGTTGTACATGCCAGCCTGAAATGTAACTTTAAAATGTTAAAATGTACGTTAAAGTGTCGTGCTAATTCATGATAGCCTCACATGCTGGTTATGACATGTAACGTTTCCTTATGTAGACTGTTAGGGCCTCGCAATTCACACTGGCAATGTACGCACCCTAGCAGTATTTATATTAGACGAGACCAAGAGCTCATCTCCTCAGTGAATACGCAAATTCTAAGTCTTGTATGTGATGAACGAATGTAATTTTGTTTTACGTAATAAACAATAGCCAAGGACGTGAACCCTGTAGTCTTAATCTACACGGTTCCCATGGGTTGACTTCGCACAAAGACAGTTCATGTAACCACGAGCGGTTTATTTTGGCAAGTATCTTGTTGACGTCTCCAGTCATCTGCTGGGAGTGTTTTAGCTCCCAGCTTCAGTTCAGTACTGTGTGTAGGTCTCCCAACCAGCTGCTAGGGCTGCTATTACCCCTTCATTTAGCCGCTAACTTCCCCCCATCCACTACCCTAGCTTTCCTTCTCCCTCGTCCCCTACACTGCTCCGCCAACCACCACACACCTGTTCCTTTTCCTCGTATCCTATCCTCCCCTTCTTTGAATCCCTTATCCCGTGCCTCACCCTTACCTTCACTCATACTCATTTCCTCCGCAACATAATCCTACTCCATATTTCTCAATTTCCTTAACCAACTCCTCCCCTCCATTACACCATCCCGTCCTCTCTCCTGTCTGCTTCCCTCACCCTCGCCGTACTCCCGTGCACACGGCCCCGGTGAAGTTCAACCGAAGCTGTCTTATCACTGTAGTTATGAGCATGGAAGCCATCATTGTGTTAGGTCATCCATCAGGCTCCTCGCACTGCTATTTAATAAAGCGGATCACACGTTTCACGCGCCCCGCTCTAGACTGCGGCCTACCCTATAGCAACACATCGCGCGCCGCCGTGTCCGTGCTGCTGCTGCTGCTGCTACTACTACTACTACTAGTGGTTGTGCTACTGCTGCTACTGTCGCTCTGCGGGCTGATCCATTACTGCATGTGATGCGGCTACGAACGAAAACCAGGGTAACTGTCGCCGCCCCCGTCTGCCACTGATTCCGTTGTAACATGGACATTGGCGTGGATCTTTCATACTTGTCACACGTACGACATTATGTGTGGGATATAGGATTTCTATGCTAGTGACATTGTAATTGCCTTGTTGGCACCATGACGTGACATCTTTACACATTGCTGCCAATTTTGCAGAACCATTACAGTAACATTGCAGTAACATTGCAGTAACATTGCAGTAACATTGCAGTAACATTGCAGAACCATTGCAGTAACATTATAGTAACATTGTAATGACATTGCAGTAACATTCTAGTAACATTGTCGTGACCTTGCAGCTGGGAACACGCTGGCGGGACAGACGTTCCGCGTGAGGTGGGCCGTCATCGCCTGGCAGCGAGAGCACTACGTCGCGCCGGAGACAGACGGAGAGCTGCGCATGAAGCTGCTGCGAGTCGGTTACCTAGGCGACGCATCGTTCGTCGGTGGGTTCACGGCAGCTGAGAGTTCTGTCCGTGTGTCCGTATGTCATTCTGTTCGTCGCTCCGTCCGTCCGTCCGTCCCTCCGTCCGTTTGTCCGTCCGTTTGACCGTCCGTCCGTCCGTCCGTCCATCCATCCGTCCGTCCGTCCCTTCGTCCGTCCCTTCGTCCGTCCGTCCGTCCGTTTGTCCGTCAGTCCGTCCGTCCGTCCATCCGCCCGTTCATCAGTCCGTCTTTCTGCCTACCTATCTGTCTGCCTGTCTGTCTGTCTGCCTGTCTGTCTAGCTCTCGTTCTCTCTCTCCTCACGAAACATTCACCATGTGCGCTAATGCAAGTGGTTTCCACTGAAATCTGATTCAATCAAGCTGTGAAGAGATATATTGATAGATATATGTGGAGAGATAGAAATATGTCAAATATTATGCTGCTGGCAACGTTTGGGGCAAATAGAAAAATGAAGTGATGCGTGAACTAATTTTTCGTGAACAACAACGTGAAGATTTTCAGCGCGTGCTTTATTACGTAGTGATAGATTGTCGATGGCGTCATTATCTTGTTTACGCGACGCTAGCTACACGCCATTCTCTTGCTCAGATATCGCCGTCAGCACCGCTGCTGGCACACCTGCCATCAACGCCGACGATAGAGGGCGCCAGGTTCAGTTCAGTCCCGGCCAGCGGGAGGCCACCTGGTGGTTGAGATTCGCCGATGACGTCATGTTTGACGGCGAACGGCGATTGGCGGTGAGCATCGAGCATCCGGTGGCAGCGGCAGTCGGAACTCCCGCGGTTGCCATGGTGACGATCGTGGATCCGGAAGACGGTACGCGCACGCCCTCTCGCCTCATTCTCGTTCCTCGTCGTTTCCGATTTATTTATTTATGTATCTATTTATTTATTCATTTAAAGATGGTACATTGGTAAAAGATATATGAACATGAGCTTGCAAGCCCCTTACCGTAAAGCAGACTAACTGATAACCGTTACTGATAACAGGTTCAGCGTTGCAGCGTAATTAACCGATGCAAGCACACTGCAAACTATCTGGCTTAGTTTTTCTTTCACACGTTAAAATGACTAGGTCACGAATTTTCTATGGTGTGTATTTGTAAAAATTTTGTTGCAATTTTTTTTACATGAAAAGTAAGTACTAACGGCACTAATCGTATTCTCAAATTCTTACATTTATGATTGATTGATTGTTTTTCAACTAGTTAAAAATCCAAAAAATCTGGGCGATTTGATATATCGATCACGACATTAAATGCTTGCTATGGGCTATGTAAGAGTCACGAGTGTTTGTTCACATCAAACGGAATAGCAAAATAGGAAGAATAATGCAGCAATTTAACTATAAAAAGCGATTAGAATCACTTACATTTTGTGAAAAAGTGGACATAATTTTTTTTTACTTTTACTATTTACGGTGACGTAATCACTTTAATATATACGGACAATTAGTATACTAACGGATAGCTCGACTATCCGCCTGTGATGTGAACTGACGACTAAGCGTTTGGAAGATACTAGAATTAGATAAAAAGAGCTTTACAAATGAGCTTTGGGTAAGCGTTACGAAACGAAACGAAACGTAACGTAACGTAACACGGCGTATCGCAACATAACGTAACGTAACACGGCGTATCGCAACATAACGTAACGTAACACGGCGTATCGCAACATAACGTAACGTAACGC